CTGACAGGCTGACAGGCTGACCCCACTACTGACACACTAATGGGAGTACAGACACAGTCTAATTGACTGTAATGTAAAACTGCACTGTGGTTCTCAGAATCCTCAGAATTCCTCATGTTCTTTATGCAAAGCATTTTACTTTAGTATTAGATTTTCTTTTTAGAAAGAAAGCCTCAAAATGAATTGTCTCTGAGATTTTCCTTTTATTTTCTACACCATTATTTTATTAAAATGAAGAAGGTCATGAAGTGATATTGGGTTGGAGATAATGCATGTGGGCGTCTGCGCACTGAACACAGTCATTTTCAGGCTTGCTCATCTGTTAATTGCTAATCTGCAGTGGCGGATCAGGGCTTCTTACAGGCAGGGCTGGGGATGGAACAAGGCACTGACCCGAAGCACTGATGCTTTGCTTCTCTGTACGTTATAAAGCTCTTCGGAGCGACCTCTGGGGATTGGAGCAGAAATCGGTTTGGATGTGCTGACATCTCACCAAATGCCCTGCACCTACTCCGTGACCTGCTAATGATACTGCCCAAACACTTTGAGGTTTATTCTCAAGATCTGTATTTTTGATTGTCAGGTTTTCATGGAGAAGTTCTGCCATTTTTTAGCATCTTGCCTGCCAAAGCAAAAATGATCAAACAGGAGAGTTCAGAACTCTCTTTCAGAGACAGCCAGTGGGCAGGGAACTCAATACTGGCACAACTGGTTGGGGCATGTGTATAGGGGATAGACACAGGCAAGTGGACATGCAAGCTTGGAAAGGAAGCCTCTTCAGTCTGAAGATGTTCACAGAGCTGGCATGTTGCGAGAGGAGTCCTGTGTGCCATGTTGCTCATCGCCTTCAGCCAGGCTGCTGGGTGTCCTGGGGTGTTGGAGCGAATCTGTGTGAGTGTGTGGGAATGGTGTTCTGCCTGGGACGTCTGCTCTTGGATGTCCTGCACAGGGCCCGTGTTCGGTGATCGGTCAGGCCAGTGCGGTGATCCGATCTCTCTCCCTCCTCCCTTCCTGTCCCAGAACCTGGAGACCCTGAAGACCACCTGCACGATGCTGGAGGAGCAGGTGATGGAGCTGGAGACGCTGAACGACGAGCTGCTGGAGAAGGAGCGGCAGTGGGAGGCGTGGCGCGGCGCCCTGGAGGACGAGAAGGCGCAGGCGGAGAGGAGGTCGCGCGAGATGCAGCGCTTGCTGGACAACGAGAAGCAGAACAGGTAGGGCCGTGGCGGCCAGGGGGAAATCCCAGAGGGCATCGCCAACATCCGATCCCGGGCCTTGGAAGGGGAGTCTGCTTGTCTGACCTGCTGGTCTACAGCTGACCTGCTTAACTCCCAACATCATGTTATGGATTTTAATGTATTTGTGCAAATGTCCTGCCTATACGAGGGTCACAGTCCCCTGTCTGCAGCTCCTTCAAAGTTGTCTTGTAGAGCTGCATAATTAGTCTCACATATCCTGCTCTTGTCAGCCGAGGGCAGATTCCAGCTATAGGAGGGTCTGTGCCAGCTCCTGAGGTGATGGCCTGCCAGCGTGTCTACGGGATGTGTGTGCTGTGTGTCTTTCAGATTGCGGGCAGACCAGCGGAGCTCTGAGTCTCGCCAGGCTGTGGAGCTGGCAGTGAAGGAGCACAAGGCCGAGATCCTGGCTCTGCAGCAGGC